AGAAGGTCCCTACATGGAGACTGATGGCTATGAGCCTGAAGTCCACCGTTTGCAAAATAAAATATTCCAGCAAACTAACCGACATGTGAAAGGCTGATACTATTTATTCGCCGGGGACTTGTTGGTCGCAATGGATGAATCTACAGACGCCGCACTCCGGACATTGACACGATGCCTTCTAATGTCGCTTGAACAGCATATACAAAGCGGATCCCAAATGCTCGCTACAAGGGAGCTCAACAAACACTGGACCTGAAGACGTACAAACAAGTGAACAACGGCATTCATAGAGAGTCCGTCAATACCATCTGCGACTATGGACCTATGAATCCCGTAACTCGAAACCGATATACCAAATGAGTGAATAGCATGTGGAGAATCCTCCCACTGCACAATACCCTATTCACATGCCAACTGAATCCTGCTCAGGTAAAGCCCCCTCTTCCTCTGGTTCAACCGAGTCGAAACTTGTTTTCTGGGCCTACTGTAAGTTGAGATTGACGAAAACGATTGATGGACAAACCAACTTAGGAAGGTCAAACGAGTATCCCATCTAAGCTCCAGTAATTTGAAGCGTCGCCAAAGATACGCGTGGTCTCGCGTTGTCTTGATGGATACAACTCGTTTATGATTGACGCTATCTGAACCTTTCTGTATGGCAAATTCGTTCAAACCGCTGCATTTTAGACACTACTTAAACGTACTGATTATTTGGTTGATGTATTGTGGAACAATTTTCCGTCATCCGTCGCAAATCATTACGTCGGCACCAAGACCGTTTGAATTCCACATTATTTGTAAAGAATCTACTTTTCATTGCCAGTTATCATTATTTTCAACAAGGGATCCTTTCCTTCACAGCATATCGCAGATGTATGTATATGTACCCACACGCGGCGTCAAATGAACTTCTTTGAGCGCCTTTAGGTGGAAGAGAAAACTTTTTATTACCTCGCTTTTATTAGCTCGGGATGTAACTATGTAATATTGATGCGCCTAAATGATGCAGCGATTTCCATTCTCAAGTTACATACATACCTGATGACAGTACGAATGAGAATTGCTTTAAACTTCCATTCTTAAAGTAACCTGATGACAGTACGAATAGAAATTTTAATAGCGAAGTTTTAGTTTTATAAACTATAATTTTATTTCAATGGTGTTATTGAGCTTTGTACCACGATTTTTTTTTTTGTTAGGAAAAATTGAAAAAAAGCTTCAAAGTTTAAGCGGTAGAAGTTATAGCTAGGGATGTCAGTGGCAAAAATACATCGATATTTTTCTTTGATTCGATTTATCGAAATGTACATCGATATTTTCCGATACATCGAAGGCCATACATCGATGCATCAGTTTGAGTAGGATTTTTCCGAAAATGTTTCACAACAAAATATATTATTAGCCAAATTGAAGAAAATTTTAAATAAATAACTGCAACTGAGCTAATTATGATTCTAACGGAACTTTTTGGAAGCCATTTAAATTTTTTGGTCAAAGTCACTTCTCTTTTTTGTACACTTGAAAAACTGGAATGATAGTTCAATGTACTAAAGATGTCAGTTCTCAAAAATTATCGATGCAGCGACTATTTATACATTGAGTGGAAAATTTTCGAGGCATCGAAGCAAGACATCATATTTTCGATGCATCGACGTTTTTCCGACATCCCACCACATCTTTAAAGTTTCAATAGCGGCGAATCAGCTCAATTTGATAGTAGTAGTAGGTTGAATAAGGAAATGATCAGCAACAATATTTTACAGGGTGTGCATTAGGGTGATCCAATAATGCATGTAAAAAAAGTAAAGTCGGAATTTTTATGCTCTCACCCCTAGGATTGTTCTATATGGAAAAAAGTATACCCTTATTTTTTTATTTTGAAATCAAAAAATATTTATTTTTTTCTTATCCACCGTATTTTATAGGACCGCCAAAAGCCCAGAAAATGCCAGAAAATGCAATGGGGGATAAATAAAAAGTCTTCATTACTAAAAAATGGTTAAATAAATAATTGGATATTGTTATTGGAAGTCTCCTGAAGAGAACCAGAGTTTTCCGATCGAAAAATATTGATTTTCAAGAATTCCATACCATTTCTACGAAAAGTTCTTTTTTTTCCTATACAAAATACATCGAAAACTTTGAGCGACCTCTAAATATTTTTTGATTCCAAAATAAAAAAATAGGGGTATACTTTTTTCGGTATAGAACAATCCTAGGGGGTGAGAGCATTAAAAGTCAGATTATACTTATTTTGGACCACCCTAGTGTGTATAGCATAGTGTTCATGTAATCTCTTGAATCAGTTACCGTAGGTTTGGCTTTATCAATGCCCTTTTGCCAAGCCTGTCGCGCGTCCTTCCTTTTACGGGATTAAAGCAGTAAAATAAGCTGAAAATGCACAGTTTGGTCTTCCATCTCGGGCTGGTTTAAAATTGCGAAAAAGGCTAAAATGGTCAGCTTTAAACGAAATACATATGTACGTCAAAACTCTAATTTTGACACCACCCTTAAGCCCTACAGATCATGGTTGCCACTCGCCAACATTTTTTTCTACCAAAATCTCTTAAAAAAAGTTACCAAATCTTCACTACCAAAATCTTCACAAATGTGTATATACTTAAGGCCCGTTTCCGTGAGTTAATAAATTCAATATTTTTATAATTTGTCAATTTTTGATTATTTATCAAGAACTCCCAGTTCTAGCACAGAAGCTTAAATCTATTTTCTTGATAAATTATCAAGATTGAAAATGCTATTGACAGTTATAATAATTTTTCTTATTAGAAAATTTTTTTCTTACAATTAATTGTTGCATGTGCCGTTATTCTCATTTTCGTTGTTGGTGTTTCCGACAGGGTAGGAGTATGATGTAATGTGGAACGATTTTCCATTATCCCTTGTCAAATTTGGTTTGGGGACAAACCGGTTTCGACGTTGTGCCAATTTCAGTGTCATTGTTCGTTCGGCATGTGCCGATATTTGCAACAACAAAAAAAAGTTGCGGCCGCTTTTAACCGACCGTTTGACTCGTACGAAATTTCGAGTAAATTGCGAAAATTGCAAATTTTTTTTTGCTAATGTTTCGCTTTTTCATAACTTAGTGCACGTGTCAAACGGACCTCTGATTTGGATTCAATGGGTCGAAATACATGTCCGTAGGTGGGTCTAGTAAAATCACGCGACATGTTTTGTTTGTGCCGGAATAATCAAAACGTTTTATGGACCTTACCGAGATGGTACGTGAGATGGTAGAATTCAAAATTTATCAGGGACGTGAACCGGATGGAAAATTTGGTCGGTTCAGTTCAGCGGTTCGAACCGTTTTTGCACTTTTGGATTGGTTGGTCAAAGCGGTTTTTTTGGTCTTTGAACCGGGGTTTCGGTTCGGTTCAACGGTTCGAAAAACAAAAAGTAACGCGCAAGGTTAAGGGTCAAGTGTCTGTCAAATGAGATGGGTTGCCTTTACATTTGATATTGTCACATGGTAAACAAACACGGAAGGTATTACCATGTTTAACAAAAAGAAAAAATTGGGTACATTTAGCTATTGAAAATTGGTTGAAACTTTTATAGAAAGTGGTTCGGTTTTCGGTTCGGATCAAACATTTGTGGAAAATTTCGGTTCGGTTAATGGTTCAGTTAATTAATAGAAAACAGCGGTTTTCCGGTTCAAAACCGGTTCGGTTCAAAACCGGTTCACCTCCCTGAAATTTACCGCACAAATTCGAAAGTTGTTTTAGAAGTGCAGCCCTTGGTGCTGCCACTGTAGTTCAAATACTTCCAGTATTCGAATATGAGATAACTCTAATTTTATCGAACTAATTTTGTAGAAGTGTCAGTAGTGCTGCCACTGAAACTCGAAGGGCATAATTACGCACATGCAAAACATAATTCATTTCTTTCTAGTAATGCAAATAGATATTTAGTAGCAAAAGTTACCAAAATAAAATAAAAGTTACCAAGTTACCAAACCGTTTAAAAGCTACCACTTTTGGTAGAAAGTTACCAATTGTGGCAACCATGCTACAGATTTGTACATTGAAAGACAAAAAAAAACACAAATAAAAATATTTGGCGCTTACGGGTTTTCTAGTACTTTGCCAAGCTTCGCCTCCGATTTGTGGTGTGCGCCTTGATGTTGTCACACAGAGAGAGGAACCTACAGTTTTACGCCGCCTCCGGAGGGCAAATGGATTATATGAGAAGCTTTTTCATGGCAGAAATGGGTGTTTGCCATTGCTTGTCGACGGACAATCCTTATTAGAAAAACAAAACGGATTTTTATGTTGCTAAAATATGGGAAATATTAGGTTCGTTCGCGTAGCTGTTAATTGTTCATGTTTAACCAAAACTTACAAGTTTTTGCGTTCGCGTACGCAAAAAACTTGCAAAGTAGGGGAAATTGAGAGAGCAAAGTGACATTTCATTTTGAGGGGAAGCTGCTGGATTCTGCTGGAAAAATTTTTGCCAACAGCAATTTGCCAACAGGAAAACAGCTGATCAAAAACAGCTGGTTGGCATTTACGCAAATCACAAAATTGAATTTGATGATTTGGAAGTTAAAAATTACAAAATGCGACTAATTAAACTTGTAAGAAGTAAGTAGTTATTTGTTTAATCAATAAACTGTGCCAGGATACCACTTTGTAATGAGTTTTCGAACGTTTTAAATTTTACACTTTTGAATGTAAACAAAAATTATATCAGCTGTTCGTCTAACTTGCAAGTTTCTGCAAATTTTCTGTTCGCGTACTATTTTGGATATTTCTCTCTTGTGAGCGAACAGATGACATTTCGCCGGAATTTGGCAGTTGGTTGGTTTCTGTTGGAGATTTTAAACGAACGCACCTATTAATACACTTTTTCGTATTTATGTCCATCGACCCTGCCTAATTAATATACAGTTTTCGAAACAGTATTTGCGTATACCAGTGTTCAAAAAGTGCTGAGTGTATCCCAAGGTGAATTTAACAAAATCGTACGCTTGATGCACTTACGTGAAATCCTCCTTTTGCTTTTTGGTCACATCACATTGCAGGCACATTTTATCCAACGGCAATTCGTTGCGGCGTGCAGTGCTCTGCATAATTGCGGTGAGCAACGATTGTGGATTGAAAAACCCGGCCAGCCAAACACAGGAAGGAAGCTGCAGAAGAAATGCGCTTACTATTATGCAATTCAATCGCTTGCATACCTCAATTCCACTCACCACAAAATCAGTGGACCATGTTTCCAATTCACGTAACCGCAAACACAGATCAATGAACCATGAATTCAAGCCCAGTAGTGATGGATATGCGCGCTGCGTCCACACTGGTGGCACTTGATCCAAGAAGAGCGAATTCTCTAATACTTCCATGTCGGAGGTGATGGTGAGCTCACCCTTCAAACCCAAATCCAATTCCTTCAAGCTGCGCTTCATCTCGCTTGTCAGATAATTCATGCGCTCGCACTCCTGAAATGCCACAATCACATAGGGTGTGCGTTCCTCCACCTTGTTCATAATCTCTACCATATTGAATTCTTCGGGTAACTTCTCCATTATTTCATCGACAATTTGCTTCACCTTGTCCTCTCGGGTGACAGTGGCGCCACCACTTGCGCCTGCATCACGTGGTTGCATTTCAAATACCGTGCGGAAAATGTTCTCAGCGCGCGTGGTTAGGAAGCCGATTTCCGCATTCGGATGTAGGCCATACAGGTAGGGTGATTCGGCTGGCATCATTTCATCGACATAGGTGTGATAGCCGGCGTAATCGGTATTTGGTGGTGCTGCAAAAGCGGGCGCCAAAAAGAGCTCACCATCTACTAGATCTGGTTGCATGTACTCCTCCAGATAGGTGATGCACAAACGACGATCCCAGTCGTCGGTTATGTGGCCGCCGTACATGATCTCACCAAATAGATAACGCAGATCCTCCCAAGGCACCTTAGCGTTAGCCTCGAGATAGTTATACAACACCGAAACGCTAATGTTTAAGTCACCAACATTGAATGGATAGATCTTGTTCCAGCCTTGTGGCCCGAATTTGCGCCGCTCAGCTACGACGGCATGGAAGTAGCAGAGTGAAAAGAGTATGGCCTTAAATTCGGCCTCTTTGCCAGACATTTCCAGTGTTTCCTGTGTAAAGTTGTCAAGTGCTTTGTGCAGATTGGCCAACATTCCTGTCGGCGGTTCATTGGTGATTTTAATGGAGGACTCTAGTATGCCCTGCATACATACAAAAAATAAAGTTATTATTAACTCAACCGTATTGTGGGTTCCTTATCATCACCTGTGGTATAATGTGCGCTGAGGGTGACGAAGCCGGTTCGGCACTTAAGAACATGCGATAATCTGGATGCGATCCTTCTGCATAGAATTCCAATTTCTTTTCCAATACTGGTAACCATTTACGCACCAAATGTATATTTTGTAATACAACCCAGTGACCATTTTTGGCTGCCGTATCCATAGCAGCCTCGGCAATAACCTCTTGACCCTGACCCAGCGAAACGTTGTGAAAATTACCCAGATCCATGGTGAAACCCATTAGCTTGCCAAGCGCCTCAACGTCCTTCAACGGGTTTACACCCGGCGATAATATAAAGAATATGGGTGTAGAAGGACTGGTCTCCTCAAAGGACTTGGAGAATTCCATTGCGCGACTCTCCACATATTTGTTGCCAAGTTTTTCAGCTATGAAATCGCTGCAGTGTAAAAAGTAATTAAGTGCATTTAATTAAATACGAATTTCAGCGTCGTTCATTACTTACGCCAGCGCATAGGTCATGCGATCTGGTCTGAGTGCACGTATCATGCAGAGTCGCTGCAGCGCCGTCTTGTTCTTCCATTCCTGCGGGAATTTCTCCTTTTCAGGCGCCTCGGACTCCACCAGCTTCTTCCAGCGTTTTGACGAAGTTTCTATATCACGATCGAGGTTACGGAATTCATCTTTAGACGCTAGACTGCATATTCCGCCCCACGATTGGTTAGATAGAAAGTCCACGGGACTTGTGACGTGCGGTTTAATCGGGAAGCGGAGTAAAAAGTCCAGTTCCGTAGATGTAATCTCCTCGTTCATCAAAAGTATCTGAGAAGATGCAAACAATTAGGTTTTATAAGTTGAAATTACAAACCAAATTTTTAATAATTAAATGATAGTAAGTACCTGAAACGCCATTTGCGATGCGAATATGAGCTTATCGCATTCGAATAGACCTCTCGAAGTGTATTGAAATACGGAATAACTTATACAATCGATTAGATTAGAAACACGTGCATCTAAAGTTTCGCCGGGATCAGCGCGTGCAATGGCCTTTTGGAAAACTACACTAAAAGCCTGAAAAGCAAAGAACTTAATTTAAAAACCGAAGTTATTACTGGGTTTAAAAAAACCAATTAGTATTATGATATCATAACTTTCAGTGGGAATTGCGGTTCGGAAGTTATGCATTATGCTTTTCCCCTTTGACCTTTGTAAATAAGAGCTTGAGAAGATAATCGTTCCCCAAGGTGTATCAGTCTGCAATTCATGATACGTGGGCAGTCGCATAGAATATGCTTTGGAGTTTCGTTTACCAACCCACACAACCAGCAGTGCGTGTCTATATCAACTCCATTTTATTCAAACGTTACCTTAACTTGCAGTGTCCTGTCAGGTAGCTTGGAAGAGTCTCAAGACCCTCCCGGCTAGTTTCTAGCAGTCTTTTAGTGTACCGCCTAGAAGCAATTTATTTGATTGCCACATTCTCTTTGACTACCGCCAGTGCGCAGTAATCTGAGATTCTTCCTAGCTCCGGAGTGGCTCTGCAGTGTATCCCTTAGATGTACCGTAGAAAGGCTCGAGACTACGCAAGCGCATTTGGGTTCCACATTTAGCCTTTACGTTGCCTTCAAACACTTAATATCCACCACTCACCACTGCTTTACTCTATTGTAAGCTTCTAGGTTGTACAAATGAGTTTTACAACTGTCAACAAGATGAGTCTAAGACCTTAAATGCTTCCTGACTCTCCGATGTAATCTTTGTGCTGGCCTCATTTGTTCTTCTACGAAGATATTCTTGAGCACAGACTTCGACTGCGAAGACTTCCCCAGGAATATGGTTGGGTATATGAACATTAGCAGACTTTTCCGGAATCTTGGTCCAAGTACGCCTGCCCCAGTACTCCATCGGTCATCTTAAATCCGTAAGTATTACAAACCCGGGACTATTTGTCAATTAAAAATGTTATCGCTTTACAGCAGTTCTTTTCAGGAATTCTGAGCTTGCAGGACTTGTCGAAGGATGAGCGCTGGGAGCTTGATTGCGGTGTCATCTAGGAATGGCTTGAGAACCTCCAAATGACCCCGATGATCCCCAATTTGTATGCTGATTTCGTCGGGCAGCCATAGTGAGTTCTGGGAGTTCATCAACAACCAGTGCCCATGGTAGCTCTCTTTATATCGCTACTTAAGGACACTCACAATTGCAATGGCAAGGATAAGAACTGAATACTACAGAGATCACCCGGTTTTCGGGGTTGGGACAATGGCTTCCATATATAAGTTTCAGGAAACCAAAATTTTCAGGTGCTGGAGTACGTTAAAACTAAAACTAAATTAATGTACGACAAACTCTCTGAACTCATGTGACATGAGGTATGTATATTACGCGTGGAATCATTTAGAGAACAAAAAGACGTCGAAAGGGCACGGCTTAGTGACCACTCTCACTAAGAGGAAAAATTAGCGCTTAAGGTGGCAGGGCCGATCCAATAACGTAGTTCTTAATTTCTTATAATAACTGTATTTTTTTGTAAGCGAGCGACAAAAGAACGTTCAACTCGGGTAAAATTTCATTTTAGCTACTTAAGCAACCCTGCTGGTAGCTGGCAAGAAACATGTGATTAGTTTAACGGGATTTAGACACAAAAAACTATAGAAATTAGTTATTATGCGAGGTATTTGCATAATATACACACTTATTTCAAATATATATCATGTATATACGAAAACAAAAATTTCCCTCTCCAATTTCCCAGTAACAATTCACAATAGAGCAGTTTTTTCACTTAACAACATTACTCTTCAGGTCGCGTATTTTTTAATCGACCTGGCTGAACTCGGATAAATAGCCGAGTGTGTGTTATTGCTTTGCGTGTATTTCGTCATTTAAGCGAGTGTTCTTTTGTAGCTCGGTTGCAAAAGAATGGACCTAATATATGATTAGATTGGATAGATAAATGTAGATAGATATAAGTAAAGTAAGCTAATATTTCGAAAATTTTTTGAATTTGTTTTTTAATTGCATAAATTTTTAAGGCAGTGGCACTCGATTGGTACATTTGGACAGATTAGTACATTTTTGTATTGAGCTATTGGTACAAAATAAAAAAATAGGATTTTTTTTTTTGTAGTCAAAAGATTGGTACAATACAGCGATGTTTTATTGAAAAATTTCAACAAATTAATTTTCGTGATAGGGATAAAGAAAAATATTTGGGTATTCACACAGTTGGGATACGATATGCACCAAATTTTGGCAAATACCCAATCGTGTGACACTGCCTTTAAACTTGTATTTACACGGATGTTGTTAAAGATTGAACTATAAAAAAATAACCAGAATTAACTAACAACAAAAATAATATTTTAAAACTTGTGAAAATTTGGTGCGGCTATAATTTTTTCGACTACTGTACATTAGACTGCACCACCAAAAAAAGTTGTGACTTTTCTGGCGGGACTACCAAACCTAGTATATTTTAAGACTTCTACCAAAATATTTTGGGAAAATGTTAAGATTTTTTGGAAAAAATCCCCTCAGATGACAAAGCAGTTTAAGCTTAAAAAATCTACATAAAACTTTTAAAAAATTGGTTGAACGAAATCATAATAATGAGATTTTTGATGATGTTTTTTAACTTTTTNCGACTTTTCTGGCGGGACTACCAAACCTAGTATATTTTAAGACTTCTACCAAAATATTTGGGGAAAATGTTAAGATTTTTTGGAAAAAATCCCCTCAGATGACAAAGCAGTTTAAGCTTAAAAAATCTACATAAAACTTTTAAAAAATTGTTTGAACGAAATCATAATAATGAGATTTTTGATGATGTTTTTTAACTTTTTTCAAAGATTTGTGTAAGAAAAAGTTGAATAACTGCTTCAAAACTTTACCGATATAGACTTGTGAGGTATCAGTGTGAAGGTATTTTCTCTCCCTTTTTACTTCTTTGCGAAAAAAAACTCACTCACGTCCCAAATTTTTCTTTATCAAATACCAACACAACTTAATTCAACACGCGTTTATCTTACCTTCCTCTTTCATACTTTGAATGAGCTCATTCGCAAAGAAATTAAAAGGGTGAGAAAATACCTTACCAATGATAACTCATATGTCTAAATTGGTAAGGTTTTGGCTTAGTTATTCAAGTTTTTCTTAAACCAGTCTTTGAAAAAAGTTCAAAAACAGCATCAAAAATCTCATTATTATGATTCCGTAGAACATTTTTGTTTAATATTTTTATACAAACCTTTCAAGCTTAAACTTTTTACTCATCTGACATAATTTTTTCAAAAATATTAAAAAAAAACTTTTTATTGATAAAAAAAAAATAATTTTTGGAGGTCCAGTTCACGTAAATCTTAATATTTTTGCGAGATATTTCGGTGGAAGCCTTAAAATATAAAAAGGTCAATATATCAATTTATGTAGGACTAATACTTTCTAAGACATTTGCAATTTCAGTAAAAAATTAATTAATTAATGTATTTATTAATTTTATTTTTTGAGCACATTGAACTTTGATGGACTTGGGCGAGCCTTGACCAAAAATTGTCGTCTTTTACACAGATTGTTGTTAGAGCAAAATGAACCATATTTTTGCTATTATCAATCAAAATTCAAAAAAAGTGGATATTCGGTCCACGTGATTACTGGGCCGTGCTACCATGCAAGCACAATGCCACTAAGTGCATTTTGAAATTTTCAGGCAATAACCTCATGCGATTATTGATTATATTTTTTGTTGTTTGTGCGAAATATTTTATTTTTATCAGAATTTTTCTGTTAATCAAAATATGTTGAAATAAAATTAAAAAATCCTGGCTACGGCCCTGACCATAGCTACTTCGCTTCGAAAGAAATGTGTATGGTTTCCTTGCCTTAAGGATAGCACCGATTAGCATTATTACAAAGGCAGAGGATATATTGGATAGAGTATTTATTGCGTCTTACCTTAAGCGAGAATTGATAGATTGGATTAATTGTATTGAGTTCGTTTAGTATGAAGTAGAGTAAACTTGCTCTAGCCGCTGCTGGACGATAATATTCGCGAGCCTTATCGATTTCCTTTGAAGTTATCTTAGCTTCAGCTACCTAAAATGATTGGATAGAAAGAGAAGTACATACTTTAAAGAAGCAGAAAGTGAGTTAGTTTATCGTAAAAATAAAAACAGAAATTTTAAGGTTTAAAACTTTTAAACGCGATCGGAGTTATAAAAAGTTTTCTTACTTTAATCCTTACATACCTTCTGCTCGATATCAGATGCTGTACTCTTAGTGGTTTCTAAATTTTCCACGAGCGCTGTATCACCCAAAATATTTTCACCTGCTGAAGATAATCTTGAAAGCAGATCATCTTCAAGTTTTTTCAGCATAATTTTGAAATCATTTTGTTGCTTTGTTAATTCGGCCTTAAAATTTAGAAGAATAGTTAATATTTTATTCTTTTTTAATTGCTATAACATCAATTTACTTTAAGTTCTTCCAGATCAGGACGTTCTGCCTTCACAACTTCGGCCAACAATTGATCCTCCAGACCATCGCGTGTGACGGTAAAGTTAATCAAAGTACTTTGAGCCTGCATTTCTGGCTTGTAATGGGGGTTTGCTAATTTTGTGTGCAATATTAAGCGGAAGTTTGAGTTATACTCGATTTCCTTATCACCAATTTTGATGGCCCTTCGAAGAGAGAAATTTACCATATGCGGAGCCGACCCACTCCAACCCAAACTCATACTCACTTGCCCTTCTTTATTAGATTTCTGCCAAGCAGTGAATCCAGCACTGGATCCAAGTTCTCATCTATATTTTCGATAAGCACTATGCAACCCTTAGTTATAGCTAATTCTATAATATCCAAGTAGCTGCGTTGACCCAAACGTATCACTTTTAATTCTTCACCATATTTTTGTTTAATCCACTTGACGCCTTGAAGCTGAAATATATTTAGAATAGAATAAAACAAATTACACATACATTTGCATATATATTTTTGGAACCAAATCAGTCACCTGTGGATCGATCATTAGCGGCCAACGATCCGAATTCGACAGGATCGTAGCATTCTCAATGGACATACGGTCGCTTGGCAAACCCTCATTGGTCCATATGGCAATTGTAGTATCGTCTGTTAGCAATGACAGTGGATCTAAATTCTCAGTAGTTGGTATGGGTGGATCGATGCTTTTCAAAAATGGTGTCCACATCTTTTGCAATAGATCAATGCGAAACTGTTTGGTAAAGCAGCCCACATATGAGATGAAGGCGGTAATGAGCAGAATGTCGCCGGGCAAGGTAATGCCTTGTTTCACAAAGCTTTAAGGAAGAGGAAAATAAATTATTTATTACACGACATCAAAAACAGAAGGAGGAATCTCTTTTTCATAAGTTTCATTTCTTCTTTAAAAGAGAAGACGAGCGCTACTCACCTATTCACCGCTTCGGCCCAGCGCACATTCTCGCTAGCTAACCCATTAACCAGCCGATTGGCGAGCGCAATTGTGGCTTGCGTTGCATCAGCTTCCTGTTGACAGCGTAACTTATCAGCAGTGGCCTGTTCGAAGTCAGCTGTTAGCTTTGCCAGTTGTTCCTCGAGGTTCTGAAATATAATGCATAAATAAGAACACGTTCAGGTGAGAAAGATTTCATTATTGGTTTATTTATAATTATCGCTAATTTAGTTTTTATCGATCAAATTTTGTATTATTCTCGTCATCGATATACATATATCGATCTGGCTATCCGAATTGCCATTGTTACAGTTATCAAAAATTTTGCGGTTTTCCATCGGCAAAACAAAGTTTTTATTATTTGTTAAAACCTCCGCCAAAACATTTCGAAAAAATATTAAGATTTACGTGAGCTGGACCGATTAGAAAATACCTAAAAAATCTCATTGTTTCGATTCTGTTGATGAAGTTTTAAGAACATTTTTTTTCAAACCTTTTAAGTTTAAACTTATCTATCATCTGGGGTGACTTTTTGGAAAACATTTTTTAAAAAATAATTAAATTTATGTACAAAAAATTATATTTTTGGCCGTCAAATTGAAAGGGTGAAACTAATATTTTTCCGAAACATTTCGGCGGTTTACTTAAAATATAATAGCTTTTCTAAGAGTAAGTTACTAGGTAAGATAACCTCACACCAAGCCCAATGGAGTATGTTAAGAGAAGTGTCAGACCATCAGCTTATCCGTTTTAAAATAGGAACCCTGTTACCAACTCTTTAAGAAGGTGCACATGTAACAATTGGCATAAAATTAATATTACAGGCATAAAAGGGAAGAATAAGATGGGATATATATGCTACCGAGCTTGTCAAATCACCTGAGACCAATGGGATCGTCCCAGCCGATCTTCAAAAGAGACTTCCCACACGCTTCAAGGCATGTAATACGTTGGGATCCCTGACGCTATAATCGCAGGAAGCTAAGGTCTGGTACATTACCAAGGTAGTGCGGAATAGCTAAATTATACTAACCCATTAGAATAATATCTTTTCTACAAAAATCTATGGAAGAGATCGTAGATAGGCATAGAAAAGAAATCCTTTGCATAAAAGTCAACAAGTCTGTCTACCAGAAAGGTCAACCGTCCACACGAAGCACTCTGCAATAGACAGTTGCGTCCTGCGCAAAGAGATTGACGTACCCCTAATTAGATAGCAGGCGTCCTTAAATCTATAACCATAAGCTCTACAGGAATTATGCAGATTCTGTGCAAAGAAATAATGCTCACGGGGATAAACTGCTACAACCATTTTTTCAAGGGGAAAAGTTACATTTCTCTAAAGCAGTCAAATATCCGGGAATTATCGTAGTTTAAAAGCTATCATGAAACCTCCACCTGGATAAAGCTATTCAAAAGGCTAGGGCCTGCATTTGAACAAGGCGGAAGCCAATGTGGGCAAACTGGGACATCCGACCTAGAAGGAAAATGGCATACAGAGAAGGCACGTCGCAGGTTCTTTAANTATAAAGCTATTCAAAAGGCTAGGGCCTGCATTTGAACAAGGCGGAAGCCAATGTGGGCAAACTGGGACATCAGACCTAGAAGGAAAATGGCATACAGAGAAGGCACGTCGCAGGTTCTTTAACTACACGTGGATCAGAGAAGACCTGTAACCAAATAAAGATTTGTTATAGTAGATCGGTAACTAGGTGACCTGCTTCCATCCTTAAATGGTATTCTCACCTAATCCAACCGGCAAGGCCAAACCATTAGTGTAGTTGTAAAAAGCTACCCTTAATTATGAATTCACTAATTCTAAAAAATCTCCGCTCAATCCTACCAACAAGATTTTATGAAGCTGATAGGCATGTTGTACGATTGATACGAATATTAAACTTGCCAAAATTGTATCCTACCCTAACCAAGTTGTTTCTCAACAAAAACACAAATGATCACTACTCACCGCAACTTTTCGCTTAATGCCCGATAACTTCTCCTGAGCTGCAGCCAACTCAGCATTTGCTGCTGCCAGTGCCTTACGTTTTGGCTCTACATCGCAGTATACCTCGTAGAATTTGATAATGTTTATGACCCAAGCGCAGAGACCCGCTGCAGCGCCCGACTTGGAGCGTACGAATTCCGGCTCGAATTCGGGATCTTTTAAATACGGTTGTATGGCTTTTATAATTTCCGGATGGATATTTTCTTTGTCGTAATTGATGAGAGCGTCAAGGAATGCATCAACCTTGGCCATCGATATTTTAGCCGCTTTCCATGAACGATCCTTGGGTAGTTTGCCACCAGGTGCCAGCAGCACCATGACCGCTGCGGTTACATTAGTCACGGCGCCAGGTGGTGAGCCGAACGACTTGAGCTCGGTTAAATTTGCCTTGTTTAGGGTGTTGAGCGCTTCCTGCGCTGCAGTCAAAGCAGGCTCTGCTTTCAGCAAATCCTCTTCACAGTCTTTCTGTTTTTTGCTAACCTCGTCGGCTATAAGCGCCACCTTCATCTCCTCCTCATCGGCAACCGCCTTCTCGGTTTGCACCTTTTCCGTTTCGATGCCAACGATTTCGATGAGCGCGTCGGCAGCTTCATTTTTCTCCTTCAATTCTACTTCTTGTACAGCTAACTTCACTTTTAAATCTGCCACTTGCACAGCCGTGGAACGCAACTTCTCCAAACCATTCTCCAATCGTACGATCTTACTTTGTAAGTCGTCGTGTTTGTGATTCAATAATTTCAAGTAGAGACTAATCTGCTCCAGATAGCTCTTCGGTGTCGTGTAATTGTAGCGACGCTCGGTTTGTAGGTAAACCTTCGAGGTGGCATTTACTGAGGTGTGCACATAAGCCATAAATTTAGCCACGGAGTCACGATGAGTCTCGGGTAAGACTTTATTCAGGGACAAAAAGTTCATTGCCACCGAAATAAGCGCTTCTTGTGGCCATTCATGGAACCAATTGATGGACGTGGCATTTATGATTGCGGGAAATTTACGTGAACGCACGCGCAACGTCGAGCCAACGGGCGAAAAACAGAGCACAATCTTCAATTGCTTGCGTACGCGATCTATAAAGAATTTCCAACAATTCTCGCGTGAGTCTACCATTCCAGCGCCTTTCACTTCGTTTCGCACGCCTGCGATAATGTTTTCGATTTCATCATCTGGGAAGAGATCGGGAATCTCACCAGTAGAGAGCATGTCATTGATGAGCACCAAAAAATCCTCGCTGGGTATTTGTGCATCGGTCATGAGGAACATTATGCCGACATTCTTTAAACCGGCTTTCAGATACAAACCGGAAAATTCATTCTGGGGAGCGGTAAAAAGGAGTGAAATTTAAGAAATTCATCTAAGCAAAGCACGATTTCTCTTCCATTAACATGCATACCTTCAAATCATTAATGCCATAACCCTTTTTGAGTTGTATTTGTACCACTTCCAAGCTGGATATGAAAGCGGCTAAGCGTGATAATGACTGCTTACCACTGCCACCGACACCGACCAGCAGCGCGCTGCCTCGCGGTGACTCTAATATGCGATTTATTCTGCAATACACAACAGTTATTTGATTTTTTGTTAAAAAAATATGACTTTTCTTCAATGTTAAAATTTTACCTGCACACATGCATCATGGCATCCTCGAAGAGCACTAAATTCATAGCCGCCACGAGATCATTGTACGATGCCATTGCTTCCTGAAGGAGTTTGTGAAGCTCAGTCCAGCCCATGACGGGCATGTACTTGGGTTCACCAATTCCTCCAGCGAAATGACAGTATATGTTGGGTTTATCAAATATCACTGACTCGTCAATCTCCTCGAAAGACTTCTTCACAATATCATGCTGCATCTTGGTAAAACTATCGATGTCTTTTTCGTCAATCAGCTTATCACCATAAACGCGTTGGGTCTCATGTTGCCATAGCCGTATGAGATCAGATGAACTTGTTAAACAATCGGCTGTGCTAAATAGGAGGCCCTGAAATGTTAAAAGAGATTAGCTTTGGAGATAAAGATGCTCAGTACAAAACCGACTTCAATTTTCATATAAAAATTTAGGAGTACTGTTAACTGTTTCATGATCCAATGATCGGATCTAAACCAGATTAGTACGGAACCACCTCCGAGACACTACCTCTGAGATTCAAAATGGGTTGACATGGTCCAAAGTTATCCGGTAACATACACAAAATAAAATAAAAATATTCCAACGAACTGATAACCTGCTCCTTTTTTGGAAGTCGGTTAAAAAAAGAAAGGAATGAAATAAGTTTCTAAGTATTAAATGAAATTTAAAAAATATTTATTTTAAATAATATAATTTAAAAATTGAAGAAAGTAAATAAAAAAATTAAATTGAAAAATAAAAAATAGGTTTCTAAAAATTAAATTCTGACCACTATCGTGAGAGCTCTTTTCTGTCCTTCGAAAAAATTCAAAAAAATTATATCTTTTTTTTTAATAATTTAATGTAAAAATTAAAAAAGTAGATTTAAAAAAATGTAATTAAAAAAAAAACAAAGTAAGATCCTACACTTAGATGAAATCAAAAAAAATCGTTTTAAAACAATAAAATCATATAGTTAAATTAAATTGAAGAAAAATTTAAATTAAAGAAATTGCAGAAAAGATTAAATTAATTGAAGAAAAAATATAAGTTCGAATACTTGAAGTTTAAAAACCATATTTTTCTTTTATAAAGTGAGAAAAATATTTTCTCAATGCGGGTCGGGAACATATCTGCCCTGCTGATATCCGTATCCTAAAAGAGCTACAAAGGCTGTGGTTTTCTGTTATCTGAGTATGGTGTGGTAGCTCTCAGTAGAAATGGTTAAAACACTAGAAGCTCTAGAGCGAGTTTCAAATGCGTTTAACTTGGCGGTTAGGTGAGGTTGAGAAAACTGCCGTTTTTGTGGCCAGACAGTCCTCTGACCGCATTGCTCTAATATAAATACAAAATCGATGTTTTAAGGGGCGACAGCGCACTCAGGTTTGGATATAGATTGTCAATGAAGAGCCTGTAAGCACGAAGAAAGCAAAAAAAGCTAAAAAAAAACGTTTTCGGGTAGTGGAAAATCGTCAAAATCGACTCAAAAAATTGGCTCTTCCGTGGTGACAAGCCTATCAGCAAATCGGCTGAGAAACCGTCTATCTCATCTTGAGGTAAGGGTGCGTTAGACTCGACACTCAGCCCTATTAGGAATAGTTCAGACGTAGTGACGAAATTAGCCTGTGAAGGTGACGTTAACTCAGGAGTGCTCGGCGGAAATCCATCGTTGATTATTGAGGATAAGGAATGGCAAGCGAAATAGAACACCAGAAAGAGCAGTGTTTAGAGGAAGATTCTCTTATTCCGCACCACAATGAGAAAGAATAGTTGTCTATCTAAAGGTGACCGCGACACTTGCATATTCCCACTTCAAGGTTAGTCGGTTTGATAGGGATCTTAAGGAAAGCGACATATTTTTGTTGGTTGGAAGTGCGAAATACCACTCGATAGGTCCAGGATTTAATCCCCATTTCAAGCAACATCCAAAAAAGCACCAAATAGTTATTTATATAATGCTTTCAGAGTAGTTAAAGACTTCTTTCTTTCCCTTCTATAGGTCTTTGAGCAATGCTCTGCACGGGGTAGCAAAAAACTAGTCACGAAATGAAACTAGTCCTGAACTATTCCGAAGTGGTTGAGAAAGAGTCATGTACTGTGCCCGACAAAATAAAATGTTAATTCTAACCAAGTTCAGTATCATTTCGGAAATAGTTGGGGACAGTTTTTGAACCATTTAAGAACTAATGCGGGACTATTTCGAGACCGTTTCAAGATATGTGTAAGTTCACGACTTTTTCGGCCGTTTCGGTGCCTGTTCAGGACCACCTAGAGCCTAGTTCGGTAGACCTTTTCAGGACTATTTCGGATCTATTTCGGAATCATTTCGGTACAAGCTCACGGTTATGCCAGAACCATTTTGAACGTAGTTCTCTCAATTTTTGGACTAACTCTTGATCATCTCGCGGTAGTTTGAAACTAGTCACGAAATGATCCTGAACTATTCCGTCGTGTACTGGTCCCAACAAAATAAATAAAATTTATTTAAATTAATTTTCAATTTCTAACCTAACCTATTTATGTGTGTAACTGTAGCTCGCACTCACGCCTTCTTATTTTATGACGTAAGTGAATCAAGAGGTCATCTATTTTATCTATAGTTTTATTATTATTTTTTTTTAGAACAAAGGCATGGGGAAATAAGGATGTGATTTTTTGATTTCTCTAGCTCCACATGACTATGTTTTAATTACATGGAAATTAATTAAATTAAATACGAGCCCACTTTATTAGAAATACTGATTTATTCCCACACAATATACAAAATCGCAATCACTTACCTGAAACACGTTGCTAATGTCTCTCAAATTGAAGATGTAATGCGACTTTATGGCCGTTGGTAAGAATATTTGTGTAGCTTTGTTATGCAGCGCCAGTGTTGCGGCAACAATGTTAGATGTCATGCGCGTCACTATCGGATTAAACTTTTGTTCAGCATTTGCAAAATGCTGTGACAAGATCGTTGCAAAGATCGATGTGATCGAATCACCACTTGGAAAGCTCACAGCCAACACACAGAAATGCCGCTGGAGACGTGGATTGACGGTAAAACTACCAGCTGTTGGATTCATGCATGCCACATACTGACAATTGTGTATATCCTTCAACGACAACTTGTTGCGATCATACCAATGTCCATAGTCCAAATGTTGACGAATAATAGTGTGCGGTTGTACCGTACCGTAGCAGTCTACTTCCGGCATATTCATGTCGTCAATGTAATAGATGAGCGTCTTATTACCTGGTGGGCCATAGTTGCGGCCCGCTTTCTTCTCCAGTGGCTTCTCCAATATCTTCTGCAGCATTTCTGAGGTAGTGTAGTAGTTGAATGGTATCGTAGTGACCGCATAATTCTCATTGAGTGCCTGTAGTTTTTCATTGACGAGTACCGTTTTACCACAACCGGCGGTACCAACCAACATGACGGGATGTCGCATATTCATAAGTAGTTCGAGGAAGAAGCGTACGCGTATCGATTCAGAGGTATGCACCAACACTGCTTGCAGCGGTAGATCGGACTCTAATTCGAACTTTGGTATTTTTTCGGTCCAGGGGAGGAAAGTTTTGGTTTCGGTATCAAGAAAGTAGTCAAAGACGGTGCCACCTTTTTATTTAAGGAAATTTGTATGAGAGAAAAAAATATTTTGTTTAGCATATATTGTTGTCAAACAAGTTCCATTTCTTTGCGATGCGTATGCTTACCTTGCGGAAACTTAACAGTTTTGAACTCATTTACCCACCATTTGCTGAATTCGACTCGATAGTCGATCGCTTGATCCTGGAACATAGCCGATCCGAATGCCCAAACACAAGCAAAAACGAAATACAGTTCGTGCCATTCTTTTGGACAATCGGCTGGTGTGTTCGTAGGCGTCAAGAAACATTCCAACAAGTGACATAACATTTGTATGTGTGCCATTTCGGCGATAGGCGTGATTTTCTTGAAGCGTGTGCGTATCGTTTCCAGTGAGGCTGGAATATATTTATCGAATAACATGACTAAGTTAGACTTCTCGGATGGTATCTTGCGCGTTTCCACCCAACTGCTGACATAACTTTGGTAATAAAATATAAAAAAAAAAAATTCATTAATTAGTAAAATTTACATTCATCTGCTCTCTCTCAAACTTACGGATTCCAACCCAAATCTTGCGGATTTATATAGAGTATACCCGCCCTGGAGACTGTCGCTGGAGTGGCTGTTCTCAAATTGGAAATCTCAAAAAGCAAGCGCATCGAAGGCGTCAGCGCAATGCGCTCGTTACTGGCCAAAGTTAAGACTTTGTTATCGTCCATAACGGTATTCAAGCTTTCAATCCACATGGGATCGATATCGCCATCGAGCACAATCCATTTGGGCTGATCACCCGTTATGTTTGCTTGATCTCGCATTATCACAGAAAACAAGCCATCCTTCCATTCACGTGTCGCCGGATTGATGATACCGAAGAGTTCATCGTTGGTCACAGCTTTTGGATTTAAATCGTTAAAAATTGGTTTTCTTTTGATATTCTGATAGGTGCGCAATAGTGTTTTCCACACTTGTGTCTTGCCAGTACCGGCATTGCCGACAATAAAAACGGAATGGCGCACTTCTAGCAACTCCTCCAACTGTACCACTTTCAATATGAAATTGTCTTCTGGTTGTAGTAGCAAATCGGAAGCGGCCTGCTTAACCGTACGTTCGAAATCTTGATCGCGTTTTCGTGGTACATCCAAAGCGGGAAATAGATCGCTTATGAGACCCATAAAGACAGGCATATCATCTGTGACGATTTTGGGTATATTAAAGTCACGCAAGGCGCGCATGAGCACCTCCTCCTCGGGACGACCAGGATCGCCGCGCTGTAAGCAAAGATTGTGGGTGATAAATTTGATTTGTAAATGATGGTAAGTCTATTGCATGTTACAGAAGTATGGACTGGGCTTACTCCTGCGAATTCGTCGAGGTTTTCAAAAAGTCTGCTACGCTCAACAGAATCCTCACGGAGGAACACTATCAGCCAAGATATGGACCAAGTCGTCCTACGAACTCAAGATCGCTGCTCTAAACACTCCATCACCTCCATATGAGGACCTTTAAAAGAGCTTCTGGATGCAGAAGAGATAAAAACTGTTTCCGTTTTTCTCCCTATTACTTCAATAAGCTTCAAAGGTTCTCGTTGCGGTTCTGATAATAATTCATATTCCGCCAAGCCGAAGGATTTTTAATTTAATTTTTAACTCTAAGCAGGGTAATGTGGTCACGACNATCATCGGACATGGCCGGAGTATTATCAATACTGCTTCAATAAGCTTCAAAGGTTCTCGTTGCGGTTCTGATAATAATTCATATTCCGCCAAGCCGGAGGATTTTTAATTTAATTTTTAACTCTAAGCAGGGTAATGTGGTCACGACAATGATAACAGTCTCGGACTATTAATCCTAAAGTGTTTCGTACTAAAGACATTCGAAAGGATCATAGATCTGCTTATCAGAGATAGGTCGACCAGATTAACGTACCTACGCTAATATGTTTGCTCGATTATGAGCCCGTTCTACTACAAACAGTTTACCATGCTTTCCTTTATAGATATTGAGGGTGCCTTTTAAATTTCATTGTAAATTCTCTAGATAGAAGTAGGGAAAGAAACCAAGTCTTATGCCGAAGATGTATACATACGTGAATCGGCATTATAAACGCAATTAGTAGATTCTCGATTAGTATGAATCCAAACTGACCTAACGAACTTTACAAAAAATAAACATTTAATCATTTTACGAAACCTACATTCAGAATTTGATCTGTCAGACAGGTTGAAATAGGTAGGAGTTCTTCTAAATCTTAAACTTGATTGGAGGCTGAACATTGATGAGCAAGCAGCCAAAATACAGGTCTGGAAGGCATATATTGTACACTCAGCTTTACGTAGTGGTCAAAATACTGATTAGATTGCGGGAAAAAGCCAAAGCAAAATAAAGGTCATTCGCGCAAAGTGTCCATCTGGACTCTGATACCAAAAACCTAGATCAAACACAAACCCTGCAAGGGATTTCCATGACACAGTTACTGGATTCGGGAAGAGACAATGTGCNTACTCAGCTTTACGTAGTGGTCAAAATACTGATTAGATTGCGGGAAAAAGCCAAAGCAAAATAAAGGCCATTCGTGCAAAGTGTCCATCTGGACTCTGATACCAAAAACCTAGATCAAACACAAACCCTGCAAGGGATTTCCATGACACAGTTACTGGATTCGGGAAGAGACAATGTGCTCTGAGAGCATGGCTCTCTTTTCTTTTTCATTAAAGAACTCAATCAGAAGATATTCTCTTACCTGCCAGACCCCGCAAGCGTTTTCTAAGCGGAGGAGGTAAAGTATATAAAACACCATGCACCTGCGAGATTGCAACTGAACATTTTCTCCGATAGCCGGCGCTCTCCTCTTCCTCATCTAGGTTGCAACTTGTAGAGGACTTAGGGATACAAGTATGCCAATATGAAAACCAGACGTGCAGGGACAGTAGTTCAGGGATTGTAGTCGATAGTTCAAACTTTAATTGAAGTCTAAGTGGAAGCTTCTATAAAAAAATCTATATAGGATAGCTCAACACCTGCCACACCAAAATTAGTTAGTGTTGTCTTGCGGTATCGTATAAATCAAAAATCGTAAAACCAACTTAAAGCCAGCACTATGCCCATATGTAATGAGCCGGGAAAATACCTACAAATACAAATTCAGTTTCCGATTTCCCGGCCCTTGCAAGTCTATACTTGGCCAACAAATCGTGCAGAACATTTCAGAGGGCGGCTGCTCTTTGTATGATATACTGAAATTCATCAAAATTGCCAAGTGGCTGAGTAGGGATTGGCCCCAGGGTTGACAAACTTCACTAACCAGCCAAGCAACTAGTTTTAAGATATTTCGTACCCATTTGTGGCAGGTAATTTTGTTCTAAGCCAAAACTCTTATTTTACAAACGATCGTGGCTGAAAAAATGTTTCTTGTTTTGACATCGGACAACTCCATTGAATAATATTTTTAGGTAAAAGCTTTCCTAAAATGATACCTACAAAATACTTTCCTATGCCCACGGGGGACTTACTAGGCGTATTTGATAACGATTTGAACATATTTCACATTTTAAATTTAAAGATAGAGGACACTCTATAAAACGTTTTTTTCTCTTTCTTGGTAATAGCGTAGTGTAAGCTGAGGCCGTATTTTATAACAGAAATAATTTTAGCTAAGTATTGACCTTGATTATTTTGAGCAAGAGATACCGATAATTTTTTGTTTTTCTTTTTCTAAGACCCAAATAGGAGACACATTAGCCTGATAATCGCTAATTTTTTTACACTTATTTAAACAAACTTAAGAAGAACACGAGAAAAAACAAAAACCCTGAAAAGTCCAAAAAACTTTCGAAAAACCCCAGAAAAGTGCCAAAAAACATCCAGAAATTTTCGAAAACTAAAACACCAAATATCTCGAAAAGTTCTGAAAAAATCGCGACGAAAAGCATTCCAAAAGCTTCTGAAAACTTAGGGAAGTCACGAAAAACCTAAAAATGATAAACACAAAAAATCATGAAAAGTTTCAAAATATCACAGAAAATTTTTGCTAAATCCATAAATCTCATTTATGCAAATTACCGGTACTTGCTCAAAATAATAAAAGTTGGGGTTTTTTATTCATGGAAAAATCAGATTTTTAAAGAGAGAGGATTCTCCCTATGTATTTTTGATTTCGAAATCCAAGAGTATCTTTCATATAATTTTTATTTTTAGTTTAGTTAGTTTATTATTAAAGATTTAGTGAATTCTATTCGTTTTACAGTTAAGTTTTTAAACTATTTTGAAGCTGTCCCGTGTTTTAATGTAACCAGAAACCGGATGAGATATCAGCTTGCAAAATATATGCTCCAATGTCCTTACCTTCAACGACCCGGCAACGACCAGCACCGACTTAATTGCCCTCAGTCCCCAGTCGTAGTGATCCTGCTTGGAGAGCAACTCCTTGCATAGTGTATAGAGTGTTATGAACTTTCTAGCCAACACGCGGGCATCTTGAAAACCCTCAGCCACCAACATTATTTCACAAATTAGCTCAAAGTCCGGCACTACCATAGCGCAAGGCCTAAATAGTGCTTTCAGATTTTCCGGCAACTCTGTGCGACCAGCATAGCCTGGGTTCATGGTAATGAATATACCCACTGTGGGCACACAACTGATCATTTCACCCATAAAATTGAACTTCTCTTTCTTGTCGCGTATCGCATCTTGTACAGATTTCACTTGTACCGCCACCACGGAGAGCACCTCCACTGTGATGCGGTTGAATTCATCGAAGCAGCCCCAGGCACCAGTTTGCGCTAATCCTTTGTAAATATTACCACACGACTGATAGTCCATTTGTTCGGAACAGTTGAAGACGTACACCATAATGCCCAGCGCCCGTCCTAAATCCTTGGTGGTTTCGGTTTTACCCGTACCTGCTGGTCCAGCTGGGCCACCACCCATAATCAAATGCAGCGACTGCGTCAGCGTAATGTAACAACGATCAGTAAGTGGTGTAATGACCAAACGTGGTGTGTTACCCAAATATTCATGCGAATACTGAAACTCTGCGTCGCAAATGTTTGCAAAACAATCCTTTTCACCTTCGTCGTAGCGATGTCGCAATTGTGATTGCCACATAAACGCCGAACCCGAATCCAGCTTGGCTTGGATCATTTTGGCGACCACATCGCGCGAATGCACATCAATTGTGCAAATAGTCATGATCTTTTGGCGATCTCCCTTGGTCAGCTCACCCAGTAATAGTGTGATGAGCAAGCTCAACTGAGAGATCTGCTTCTTGTAGTAGTCCTTGATGGCATTATCGTAACCTTCCTCCAAACGACCGAAGGCAATGTTCACCTCAGTGGACCACCAGATTTGCGATCCACAGAGCGACACCTGTGCAGGATAGTCGAATAACCATTGTTCACGTTGCTTTTCCTCATACGCGACCACAGCTTCGGAAACGTAATGACGTAGCGAGGCACGCATGGCCGCCTGGATGCGATTCAGCCAAACCTCCACCGGTCCGCGTATACTCGCCAACTCATTGAATTCCACATATTCACCATCTTTGGCATACATACCCGAAGCTGTGTCGATTTCGTTCGACTCGTCGCGATTAAATTTTAAGCGTGCTATAGAATCAAACAGCTTGGTCAAATGTTTGGTGACCATATCTGGCTGAATGCCATTGCTCAGCACATCGAGTAGATCGGCCGATGATACAAAGTAAAAACGAGGAAAAGCTAAACGTTTCGTTTCCAAATACTCTGCCAGCGCCTTCTCGCACAATGTAAGCTCCTTCTGCAGGTGTTCCAAGCGTTCGATCAACCCGGGTCGATTTGTCGATGCCACAACATTCGACGATACAGACATCTCGTCCATTAGTATACGAAATTCAGCGTCGATGCGATCGAAACGATCCGAGTCGACTGGCAATTGCTTGCGTATGTCTTCGGAACTCATGAAGATACTTTCGAGATGGGTCCAAGTGCGTTGCACCTCAAACCAGACGGTGATCACCTGATCGGCGACCATCAGTTTGCTCTGCCATGTTGACACCTCCTCAAGGAAGTGCGCAATGTACTTCGATGTTATCAGATTTTGTAAGCAGACCTGATTATCTTCGAGAGTCTCTATGAGTTCCTCCGATGCCTTGAGGAGATTACAGCCGGTGCGTGGATGCAGTTCATGATCGAATTCCATCGCAGACCAAGTGGTGTGCAAGTCACGTAAAATTTTCTCCATCGACATTTCCTTCACCGCCTTATCGACGATATTTTTGACCTCTTCCTCGCACTCATGCAGATTGAGACCCAAAAGTTCGGCGAGTGTAGTTTCATGATCCATAATAAATTTCACCTGAAAGGGTTTGGGAAAAGTAAATGATTGCGAACTTTGAAAAAAAAATATATATTTATTATGTGCTATTAGTTCAAGGGACTGTGCAAATTGTATTTTATTGCATTGGAAGAAGGAAAGTGATTCATTTTTTTTTTTCAAAAACCATGCAGGTGAATATACATTTTATGAACAACACATACATACTTGTACTGGGCGAGGTTTATTTACACAGAACTTACCGTAATATCCTTCGGTAATGCGGCTAGACTCTGTAACGAAATGTTATTTACAAGTAGAAATGTACGAAAGTATCCAACTAATTTTATGTATACGAGGGAGTTTTTGTGTAAATCATTGCAATAAATTTCAAAGTTTTTATAAGAAATTGCAAAGAGTGAAGAAGAAGTTTTCTTTACGTACATAATGGGAAATGTAGTAATTTTAATTTATGGAGGACAATATCGAACAAAAAGGCTTTTATTCAAGCAAGGTATTGAAGCATGGACTGCATTGATTTATTCCTTATTGATATAGCACCGGCAGATAACCTTATACGGGATTTCATAGATGGCTGCTAAAAGTCCAAAGCTCTAATACCTCATTAGCTGCCCTGTCAGTAGTCGTCGTTCGTTAACTTTGCCTACGAGAATCCCTCCTCGCCTCAGGGCCATCGAAATAAGGCTATTTCTAACGAAAGTATAAAGCGAATTCAAACATTTTACTAGGTGAGCTTAGTTAAAGTCCTTAATCTTTCAGCCGTCGAATTCGCTAACAGACAATTCAAATAATAATATGTGGTATTAACAAGCTGGAATTTTCGAAAATGTAATTAAGTGGATACCTGAGGAAAAGTGCTTTTAACGTGAAATTTAGGGCTCTCAGTAGCACAGGAAATCTCAATTACAAAATGGGTGATTAGATTAATGAAAGCCTTTCTTAATTTATTTATTTCTTGTGTTTCCCGAAAGTTGTATGTCCTAAAAAGTTTGGACCTGGGCATTCCCACAGGAAATGAAATAACGTTTTCTTTCTGAAATATTCCTATTCTATAAACACGCTTTCCTATCGGCCAATGACCAATGCTAGCAATTATAATCCTAAATACTTCTACCCCTAACCTATGTGGCAGCTCTGCTGCCTTTTCTTGCTAAAGTGAAACTAAGGCTCTCTTCCTGTCTTGTAAGTCTGGATCTCCTTGCTATTTCCGGAAAGTCAAGAGGCTTTCTGTTTGCATTTGTACCGCCGCTACAGATTCATTCAAACAAGCTCCCGCTTTTGCCAATTCGTCTGCTCTCTCGTTGCTTTCTATGTTCCTATGGCCGGAAACCCAGACACGAGAGATGGAAATTGCCTGAGATGCCGAGCGTTTATCCATGTTGCATTCTTGACTAGCTTGGATAGGAGTTCAGTGGTTGAATATAGCTAGAAGTGCTACCTGACCATCTGAGTAAATAACCGCTCTTTCTTTCCGGGTAGTACTATTATTTAAATAGTGCCCTACAGGCTTCTAATATGTATGCCCAGAACTTCAGCCTGAAATGTGCTGGCATGCAATTGATTAACACCAAGCTCCTGCAGTCCTTCTGGGATGGATTCCTTATCGCACAAGTGAATCCAGGACAAAATTCAGGCTTTATGCAATGTAGTTTGCTACTTACTTCGTACCATAATAGGTAAGATTTGGCCTTATGACAGCGGGGTACATCCTCTTCGGAAGTTTCGGTTTCAAACCACGGTTTCTACTGAAGATCCGTTTACAAGTGTAGTAAGCGATGAATACCCTCTCTTAACTTTTCTCAAAGTCAAGTTTGCAGTTTAATTTAGTGCCTAAGATGACCCCCAGATATTTCGCAATGGATGACTGCATTTTCGACTATTGATGGTAGTCTAAATTGGCAAGTCTTATTCTTATTTGTCAACAGTAATAACTTGGTTCTAATAGGGTTAATGTTAAAGCCACTCTATTTAGTCCACGTGTGTAACCAGTTCCTCCCGTCCAGTACTGCTGGAGTCAATCGTCACTTTTGAACCGCTACTGCACCAACTCCTAAGTAAGTAGCTTCTCTTTTAACCCGTAGTAGTGCACATGGTAATGCAGAGTCGAACTAGTCGTAAGCAGAATAGCGAAAAACTACGGCAGAGGGCGCCCATAAATTACGCAAGTGACTACCTCAGTAACTCCCGGTACTGCAGAGGGAGCCGATGGTGACTACCGCCTAGGACATTGCCTTGTAAAAGTAATCGATGAAATACACTGCAAGTAGTCGGTCGGTAATTACGGTGTTTGTTAGGTATTTAGCTACCGATTCAGCAGTACCTGTAGTCACTCCCCCGTACTGCAGAGTGCATCAACATTTAGCGGATTAAATACTAGAAAGACACAATAAGTGAAGATATCCCTCTGAGTCTAGTAAAGCCTTTACATTGGCATACAATATGCTCTGCTGTTTCCTGTTCCTCATAGCACAACCTACATTGGCCAGAGAAAACTACTGCCTGTTGTTACAAGTGCTTCATTGACTTGCAGTAATAAAATCTTTACCAATTTTTAATTCTTACACAGTAAGTTGAAGGAGTGGTTCGGTTATTCTTTCTAATATTTCTTCTTCATACAGATATCATAATTTCGCCCCACGGAAGAACCATGAAGTGTCGTGGATCTACGAATCTCTACTCAGCCTCTTTCCTGTCGATAATATCTGCCACTTCATTTGCAATATTTTCACAGTGTTCCGGTGCCGAAAAAGGGTAAAAATAAGCGCTTTAAGAGCTGCATACGTAAGCTTCTTTTAAAGGATAGATAAATCGTTTGGTTTGTGTCTGCCTTGGACATCCCATCCAGTGTCCTGCCCAACCTTTTGTCTACCCAGTAATTTATGATCTCCTTTATACAGTAAAACCCACTTAAGTACCTCACGAAAAATGTCAGCTTTTTGTGTTACTTATGCGGGTTGTGTACTTAAAAAAACCCTCTTAAGTACCTCGATGCGGGTACTTAAGCGAACATAATTACTGATGTAGTTACATCTTCTTGTTAACATAGTTTAAAACCAAACCATAGCATTATTTAAACACACAAACAAGTAAAGAAAAACTTTATTAAAAAAATATTTAGTGCAATGGTCTGTCATTTTTACAAGAATTAAAATGTTTAAAATACCAAGGTTGGACATATCATTTTGTACCAAATTCAAATGATATTGTTTGCCACTTATGTTTATTTATTAATTTTTAAGGGTTTTCAATCAATTAAAATGCAGTTCATTCCCTAACATATACCATATAAACCTAAGCTTAAGATTTTGTAGAACACTTAAAAAAGAAATTCATCATAACTTCAAACTTTTTTCCCAGAGGTGTTTTTTGAGTATACAGTTTTATAGTCCATTCAATTTCAGTGCAATAATGTGCAAGTTTCAAGTGGCTAAAAGTTACCGTTGTTTTTAGATTTTTTTTACCGAATTTGAAAATACGTAAATATTTTAAGGAATTTTAAAAGAGCACTTAAAAATTATAAGTAAAATTGTAAATGGGGCACGAAAAATTGAGGTACTTAGGCGGTTTGGGTAAATAAGCGGGGAGGAGGACTTAAGAGAGGGATTTTATTCTGATTATATTAAAAAATTCACGGTGTCCAAAAATGTTGGTTACTTAAGCGGGTTAGGTACTTAAGGGGGGGGGGGGTACTTAAGGGGGTTTCACTGTATATACTTTTGTGAGCTCACAAACCAGTTTCCTAATCCTAAAATACTGCGGTAGCTCCTTGTTTCGCTAAGCAGACCGTCTCCTCGTTGCCATCATGTCCTTGAAAGCGCTGGCGTACCGTTCGAAAGATCCGAGTTCGAGTCTAGGGTAGCGGATTTGTTTTTATTAAAGTTTTTTGAAGTGAAACTTCTTAGGCGGCGGTATCGCAAAAATGGAGAGTGAAATTTTTAAAACTGAAAACGTTACATGAGTGAGAAGGAAGATATAGGTAGTATAGGGAAGGGGGAAAAGGAAATAAAGCGACGCATGACGGGTACGAGTACCTACATATGTATGTTTGAATGCACGTACGTATGTATACATATATATGTATGTATGAACGAACTCAGTGCGCATTTCAGCTCTGCCGCTACCAAGCAATCTTACTATCTTACTATCTTACTAATATTATAAATGTGAAAGTTTGTATGTTTGGATGTTTGGGAAATCATTACGCGGAAAGAACTGAACGGATTTGCATGAAATTTTGTACGCAGATAGCTTATGGGCCGGATTGGTTAATAGGCTATTTTTTTAAGAGTTGCCACCTGTTAAAAAAGTTTAATTTATTTAATATGCGGTAACCACTGAATGGATTTGTATGAAAATTTGGACACAGATAGCTTATGACCTAGGTTGGAAAATAGGCTACTTTTCTTAAGAGTTGCCACCTGTTAAAAAAGTTTAATTTATTTAATATGCGGTAACCACTGAATGGATTTGTATGAAAATTTGGACACAGATAGCTTATGACCTAGGTTGGAAAATAGGCTACTTTTCTTAAGAGTTGCCACCTGTTAAAAAAGTTTAATTTATTTAATATGCGGTAACCACTGAATGGATTTGTATGAAAATTTGGACACAGATAGCTTATGACCTAGGTTGGAAAATAGGCTACTTTTCTTAAGAGTTGCCACCTGTTAAAAAAGTTTAATTTATTTAATATGCGGTAACCACTGAATGGATTTGTATGAAAATTTGGACACAGATAGCTTATGACCTAGGTTGGAAAATAGGCTACTTTTCTTAAGAGTTGCCACCTGTTAAAAAAGTTTCGTTAAATTAATACGCGGGAACGACTGAATGGATTTGCATGAAATGTTGCACACAGATAGCTTATGACCTTCGTTAGAAAGTAGGCTACTTTTTTAAGAGTTGCCACCTGTTAGAAATGTTTAATTTAATTAATACGCGGAAATGAATGAACTGATTTGCATGCAAGTTTTCACACAGATAGCTCATGAGCTAGGTTGAAAAATAGGCTACTTTTTTTAAGAGTTACCCCCTGCTAAAAAGATTTATTAAATTAATACGCGGAAAAGGCTGGACGGATTTGCATGAAATTTTGCAAGCAGATAGCTTATTACTAGGGCAACCCAAAATATGTTCGGGCACTCTGATTAAATGCCTAAATGTTTTTCCAAAAATATAAATTTCGAGTTATATTTCTTAGAGCATTTTTTAGCATATTTTACAATAAATGCATATTTCAGCATATTTTGCAGTTAATGTATATTTTCGGATA